CCCCTGTTCTCTTCCCCCCCATGCTCGCCGCCGAGCACTGTTTTGGGAACCTTTCTGTGCTTTCCAGCCGATCGGGGGGCGGGCATGTTTTGGCGTGCCCAGCCTGCGCGCCCCATGCGCACGCGAGCGCGGGCTTGCTGCACGCACGTACGTCTGGCGTTCTTGCCTCGTTGCGCAGTGGTAGGATGTCGGGCGGCTTTGGGGCCTCTGGCCAGTCCATACGCACGCTGGTTGGGCGCACTGTTCCTAGTCAGCATCAGGCGATCGAGGACCTCATGGCCATCCTCGACCTGGAGGACTGGGGTACCTCCACGACGCCTGCCGATTTGGGGCTGTTCTCTCTCTCTCTCTATTTCTTCTTCTCTCGGAGGATGATGAGGAGAAGTTCCTGAGGAGAAGGACCAGTGTAAACCCAAGTCTCTTCAAAGATGTTGGAATGTACCCTCCTTTCAAGCTCCCTCTTCATAGGTCCCAAGGAGGCTTCATGCCCACTGAGGGAAGTACCCCGTTCCGGAAGCGCGCCCGAACACCATTCTCGGGACTTCGGCGCCACGAATCAACAGGATTGAGTATTGACGATCCTGACTCGTGGCAGAATACCATTCCTGTGACGTCAACGCCGCGAATCAGTGGAACTGTTCCGACCTACCAATCTCGAATCGCTCCGGAACATTATCCCAGTGCGACCCTACCTAGGAGTTGGATCATCTAGGAAAGCAACATCTACATCTACACCGACATCTACACCGACAGCTACGCTCGGCTGCGCTGTGTTATGCTAGACTATGCTGTGCTATGCTATGCTGCGCTATGCTATGCTATGCTATGCTATGCTATGCTGCGCTATGCTTTGCTATGCTATGCTGCGCTATGATATGCTATGCTAGGCTATGCTAGGCTATACTGTGATATGCTGTGCTGCGCTATGCTATGCTATGCTATGATATACTATGCTATGCTGCGCTATGCTATGCTATGCTGCGCTATGCTATGCTATGCTATGATATGCTATATTATGCTATGCTGCGCTATGCTATGTTATGATATGCTATGCTATGATATGCTGCGCTGGGCTATGCTATGCTATCCTATGCTATGACATGCTGCGCTATGCTATGACATGCTGCGCTATGCTATGCTATGCTATGCTCTGCTGCGCCATGCTATGCTGCGCTATGATATGCTATGCTATGCTATGCTATGTTATGCTATGTCATGCTATGCTATGCTAATGCTGCGCTGCGCTAAGCTATGATATGCTATGCTATGATATGCTATGCTATGCTAATGCTGCGCTGCTATGCTATGCTATGCTATGCTAATGCTAAGCTAAGCTGAGCTGAGCTAAGCTAAGCTAAGCTAAGCTAGGCTAGGCTAAACTAAACTAAGCTAAGCTAAACTAAGCTCAGCTAAGCTAGGCTAGGCTAAGCTAAGCTAAGCTAAACGAAGCTAAGCTAAGTTAAGCTAGACTAAGCTAAGATGAGATAAGCAACGCTAAGGTAAGGGAACGTCACTGGGGGAACCGCGGGGCGGATCCTGGGGGAACCGCCCGGGGCGGGGAGCACTGCCCGGCCCTTTAAGGATACAGGGTAAGAACCCTTCTAGGCAGAGCCTAGGTAGGGAATTATTCTTGGCACATTAACCATGAGATTCAGTGAAACGCTTGCACATGTTTAGGGCGAGTGTGCGCTGCGCTAGGGCGAGAGCCATATTTTGAAAACCACCCGCCCTCACTCCGTGAAGCTCTTGCATTTTTTTACAGCTAATGTGCGCGGCGCTAGAATGATCCCCTCCATTTATGAAACTGTTGCCAATTTTTGAGCTTCGGAGTCGTAAGTGTGAGGAAGTCTCAGGCGAAACGCCCGGCCGCCCTTCCGACTGGCTTCGGGGTGCGACAGGGACGAGTTATTCAGAAGGAAAGGAATGGAGGAGGAAAAGGAGGAGGAGGAACTCGATGCGCTCGCGCTCGATCCAGGCATCCTCGTTAAAGCGCTGGGGGTGCATGTCAGCTTGGGGTCTTGTTACGGATGGCTTTCTCGTGGGCAGCGGTGTCCGCGGCCAAGTGCACCCTGGCCTCCACCAACTGCAACTCAAGCTTGTCTACCTTAGAGTTCCGATGATGTATTTGATGAGCGGCCAAACCCACCGCCTTCGCTGCATCTTCGGCGACACGAGTCAGGCGGGTGCGCTCTGCACTGGCTACGTCCTGCAGCCTGGCCGCAGTCCACTTTGGCTTCGCCGGCGGAAGAGCGCCATCCTTGAGCTGAGCAACAGCATTTCGAAGATCGGGCTTTGCGGCAAGCAGTAACGCAGCAGCAGCGCGAGGATCAACATCACCAGTTTCTCCACGACCGTTTGTATCTGCAGCATGGCGAGAACCATTGCGACGGCCGGCACCATGTCCGCGCTGATCACCTGCATCAAGGTACTCACCCCCGCACTTCGAGCAGCAGAAGTTGCTGGAAGACTTGGGCTCGCAGTGCTTACAGTCCGCGTGCACGGTCTACTCTTTCCTCTTGGACTTCTGCTTGCCACTCCTGCCGGAGGAGGAGGAGGAGGAGGAGGAGGAGGAGGAGGAGGAGGAGGAGGAGGAGGAGGAGGAGGAGAAGGAGGAAAAGGAGGAGGAGGGAGGTGGAGGAGGAGGAGGAGGATGAACACAGGGGGAAGTGGGGAGGTCCTGGGAGGATGCGAAGGCGCGAATGCCCCCCCCCCTCCAGGACATGATCGGGCCAGCGGCGGCGGCGCCGCCGCCGCCCCCCGCCGAGGCCGCCGCAGGCGGACGGCCCCGCGGCCAGCCGACCCGATCCGGTGCGCCCTCGCGCTGCCATCGTGGCCCCGGCCTGTCCCTGGCACTCGTTGGCGCTGTGACAGGCCAGCCACAACTGGGGGAGCCGTGGTCCTTACCCCCCTGGGGGGCCCATTGATTTCGACACCCCTCTCGAGAGATCCTCGATGCGACGGGTTCCCCCAGGGGGGTAAGGACCACAGCTCCCCCAATTATGGCTGGTCGGTGTGACTTGAACAGTGGGAAACCGACCCCAGCCCCCACAACTATGGATTTTACATGTCAGCGTTTTGCATCTACGGCGAAGGAGCGTAGGTGTAGGCGCCCTGTCGGCGAGGCCATTGCCAGCTGCCGCAGGGGGGCTCCGCGCGCGCGGCGACGTCCTGAGCCCGCTCGACGCGGCCGCGCCCGCGCCGCCATTCCCCGGCAGATTCGGCGGCGAGCGAGGGGGGTGGGAGTGAGATCCCCATCCCGATTCCCACCATCCCATCACCTGAGGTAGGGATATGCCCTTTAGAGACCGAAGGGAGCCGCCTACATCACCATCTCGGGGGTAAATCGGCTAGTGGGGCCCAGGCCACGCCAGTGGGGATAGGGATCGGTTAAACGATGCTCAAGGAAAAGGCCTTCTCGGAAGGCGGCGGGACTTCTCAGAAACCTCGCGCCTTCTGAGTTGTTTTGTCTGTTCGGGGAAGGCTTGGAAACCTTCCCAGAAGGCCTGAGGACTTCCGAGCATTCTGAGAAGGCCTGCCCCTTCTCATTACCCCCCCTCGCTCGCCGCCGATAGTTCTTTTGCGAGTAGTGGAACTCGCTTGTCTACGTGCGTGTACAACCAACTCGCATAGTTAGGATGGGCAACCTTCCCAAGGGTAGCCCTGCATCCTTGCTTCCTCGGTCCATCTGGCCATTTCCGTTGGCCGCGCCTCGCTCGAAGGGCTTCGAAACGGCCGTCCAAGGCCCTTGCGTCCTTACCGCGCATCCTTATGATAAAGGCTGACTGTAGGTACTTTGCGAGTCGTGGATCGCGCTTGTGTACTTGCGTGTATAGCCGAGAGGCCCGCTTCGGTTCGTCGCTCGCCCGTGCCAGGCGGCGCGGCGCAGGACTGGCCCTCGGCGGTGGCGGCCCTCTGCCGGGGCGTCGACCGCGGCAGGGGCCCGCGCTGCCCGCGCCCCGCCTCCGCCGGGGCCGGCCCTGCAGGCGGCGACGCCGGCCGCGGCGGCGGCGACGGCGATGACGACGACGGCGACGACACGACGACGCCGGCGACGACGCCAGGAACGCGTGCGAAGGCCTTTCGAAGAACTCTTGAAATTCCTGAAGAGGGCTTCTGGGGGGTCTCGAGGATTGTCTTGGGATCCCCGAGATTCCCGAGAGGTTCCTGAGGATTTCGTTGGGCTTTTTCATGTTTCCTCAGGGATTTTTTCGGATCCCCAAAGGGTTCGTGAGTTAACCTACGGGTTTCCGAGGATTCCCTAGGGTTTTCTGAGGATTCCGTAGTGATTCTTGTTTGGGCTTCCCTCAGGGTTCCTTAGGGGTTCCTGTGGATTCCCTTTGGGTTCTGGGGTTCAATGGGGGTTCTTGGGGGTTCCTGAGGATTCTTGAGGGTTCCCTTGTGGTTCGTCCGGGTTCTTGAGGTTTCCTTAGGGATTCCCTTGGGAAGTCGTGAGGATCCCCGAGGGATTCCTGAGGATGCTTGAGGATCCCGTCGCGAATTCCAGAGTATTCCTTATTGGGTTCGGGAGGATCCCGGAAAGATTCCCGAAGCTGCCGTCGAGATTCCTGACGATCATCTATGGGATCATGAGTACCTAAGGATTCCAAAGACTCCCATAAGGGATCTGAGGATTCTGTGGGGTGCCTTGAGGATCTGAAGGGTTTTTGAGGACCCCCAGAGGTTCCTGAGGTTCCTTAGGGTTCCTGCGGATCCATTCGGCGTTTCTGAGGACTCCCGAGGGGATTCCTGGGGAGTCTGTCCTGAGGATTCCTGAAGGATTATTGAGGATTCCCCAGGGACCCCTGAGGTTTCCCTAGGGACTCCTAAGGATTCCTAAAGGGTTCCTGAGGGTTCCCTCGGGATTCCTGTGGATTTATTGAAGATTCCCGAGGATCCCCCATGGATTCAAGAGAATTCTCCATGGATTCCTGAGGGTTCTCTGAGGTCTGACGTTTCCTGAGGATCCGCGAGGGGGTCAGTGATTTCTGCAGATTCCCCATGCCCTTTCCACAGCGGCTGTTTTTTCATGTCGCATTGTTTTTTGACGTTCCTGGGGCTCGGCCGAAATCAGCCCAAACGTTCCCGCGCTGAGATCCGTCGTCACGAACATGGCAGCCGCGTGGGGAAAACCAGACGGGAGCTGGAGCAGGGCAAAATCGCGACGCCAGGATCTCAGGGCGCGTGGAGGATCTCAGGGCGTGTGGAGGGCGGAGGAATCGCGATGCCATGATATCTCAGGGCGTGTGGAGGATCGCAGGGCGTGTGGAGGGCGGAAGAGCTGCGATGCCAGTGTCTCAGGGCGCGTGGAGGGCTGCGGAGGAGCGCGCGCCTCGTCGCATGGACGCACCAGCGCGGGCCTCTGGCCTGCAGGCGGCGGCGCGCTGCCAGGGCGAGCAGCGCAGCGTGCGCCGCCGCGGGGGCCAGCCAGCGCCGGCTCGCCGTGCAGGCACGGCCCGGCCCGCTCTTCTCAGCGGGCCCAGGTTTCCCGCCTCGCCCATTTATCATCATCGTCGGAACCATCCCCACCCCCACTGGTGGGGGGCTTCTCCGAAGGGCTTAGGCGACCCGTCTTCTTCTTCCTCCTCCTCCTCCTCCTCCTCCTCCTCCCTCCTCCTCCTCCTCCTCCTCCTCCGCCTCCTGCTCCTCCTCTCTCTCCTCCTCCTCCTCCCTTCCTCCGCCTCCTCCTCCTCTCGTCCTCCTCCTCCTCCTCCTCCCTCCTCCTCCTCCTCCCTCCTCCTCCTCCTCCTCCTCTCCCTCCTCTCCTCCTCTCCTCCTCCTCCTCCCCTCCCTCCACCTCCACCTCCTCCTCCTCCTCCTCCTCCTCCTCCTCCTCCTCCTCCTCCTCCTCCTCGGGTCGCCTACGGCCCTGGGGGAAACCGTGCACCCACTGGGGGCAGGGTTAGTAGGCTCTCCCAGCGTACCCCCTCTAAGTGGGGATGGGCGCTCCGCAGCCCGAAGGAGACGGCATGCCCATCCCCACCAACGGGGGGGTAGAGTGCCCAGCGGGGTGCCAAGGTTTCCCCGGTGAGGGTGGGGACTGTTTTTGTTTTCCTCGTCCAGATTAAAACCTTCCTCGAGATCCCGGCGTTTCCGTTGTCCTCGAGCCAGGCGTTTTCGATCCGGGTTTCGGGCTCGGGACCCTCACAGATAGATGCGGCTGGAAAATTGGCGCAGAGAGATGGGGTCCAGGGTTCCGGCCTTGATTTTTCGCAGTGTTGTATTTTTCTCGCAGTGTCGGATGTCAGGGTCTGTTTCCCTCCCCTTTCCCCGCCTTCCTCTTCTCCCAATCCCTCACTACTTTTGCCTTTCTCTCTATTCCCTATTTTGTTTTTTCCTCTCCCTTTTTTTTTTGTTCTCTCTCTCTCTCTCCCCCTCCTTTGTGCCTGGCGAGTCAGGCTTCGTCTTGCTTCGGCGTAGCGTGCCTGAAGCTATCCCCGAGTCCATCAGGGATTCTTGGGTGGCCCAGACGTCGCAGATTATGAGGTGGGCGCAGGCGGCAAACGGACTTAGAGGTGGGCGCAGAGGACGGAGTCGTCTGCTCGGACATCGGCACGTAAGCTCCCCGCGTAAGGTCGCGCGTCAGCTCCCTCGTCTCAAATGTGGCGTGCCGCGCTAGCGGCCCGCGTAAGCCGCCGCGTAAGGTCGCTGTGCCATCTTGCGTGAGACCCGTTTTTGGTCGTCGCCCCTGTGGGAGACCCAGAAGACCAGCAGGAGGACCCCGAAGCCCACTGGGGCTCGCCAGGCCCTCGAAGCCCCTCTCCGTGCGCGGACACGCTGCCATGACGCGTTTCCGTCACTTGTCCGCACCAGCCGCACTCGCAGCGCCTTTCCGCGATCTGCTCCTGAGCGTGCCCGCCGCAGCCGCTGCCGCCTCGGCCGCCGCCGCCGCCGTTGCCGTCGCCGTCGTCGCCGTCGTCGCCGTCGTCGTCGTCGTCGTCGTCGTTGTCGTCGTCGTCGTCGTCGTCGTCGTCGCTGTCGTCGCTGGCGTCGTCGTCGTCTTCGTCGTCGTCGTCGTCGTCGTCGCTGTCGTCGCTGTCGTCGCTGTCGTCGTCGTCGTCGTCGTCGTCGTCGTCGTCGTCGTCGTCGTCGTCATTGTCATCGAGGACGTCTGGCCGCCAACCTCGCCGGCGTCGTCGCCGCCGCCGCACCTCGCCGTCATGCCTCGGCATCCTACACCTTGCGCAGAGGGCCCCTCGCCTGTCCTTGCCAGCTGCCCCTGGCTGCCAGGACCCAGCGGTTGGCCATCGGGTCCAGGCATCACTTGCCTTCCCTGGGCTGCCAGGCTTCTCGCTCATGGGGTCCCGTCGTCATTGGCGGCCAGTATGGCCGTAGTAGGCCACAGCGTCCCGCCCTCGGAGTCTAGGCCTCGGTGGCCCTTCTGCTGCCAGGGTTGCAGGCGACTGCGCACTGGGTCCCGTCCGAGGGGTCTCTGCTGCCCTGACTGCCTATTTGTGCGTTTCTGGGCGGTTGGCAATCTTGCCATGGGGCCCTGGCCATGGGGGTCTGGCCTCGATTGCAGGGGGTCCCAGCCGCGGGCTGCTTTCTGGCGAATCTGGTGGTGATTGGCCATCGGTCCAGCCTGCAGTGTCCTGGCCTCAGCAGCCTCAGCTGGCCTGCCTGGCGGACTTCGTAGCGGGTGGCCACCGGGTCTCGCCCAAGAGGGTTCATCACTTCTGCGTGTCGGGTTTCGTCGCAGCTGGCCGCGAAGTCTCGCCGGGTCCTGGCCTGAGTTGCCCCTGGTCAGCCCCCCCTGGGATTCTTTTTCGCTTCACGCGCCATATCATTTTGAGCGGCTTGCTCTGCCAGAGGAGGCCGTTCTCGAGCTTCTTGGGGGCTTCCTGGGGCCCTCTTTGTCCTCTCTGGGAGCGCTCTCGGGGAATTTCGGTGTCCTCTTCGGAGCTCCGTGGGGCCCTTGGAAGTCCTTGCTGGAGACCTCCAGGACGAGGACGGCGAGAAACAGCCAGAACATCCCTCCCCCGTCGAGCTGCATCAGCCTTCTTCGCCCCGTCGCCCCGACCTGCCCTGAGCCACTCCATCTCAACGCGGTCTTTGTCTGCGTCCCACCCGCAACCTGAGAGGATCGATGAGGAGTGAGGAGGAGGAGGAGGAGGAGGAGGAGGAGGAGGAGGAGGAGGAGGAGGAGGAGGAGGAGGAGGAGGAGGAGGTGGAGGAGGAGGAGGAGGAGGAGGAGGAGGAGGAGGAGGAGGAGGAGGAGGAGGAGGAGGAGGAGGTGGAGGAAGAGGAGGAGGAGGAGGAGGAGGAGGAGGAGGAGGAGGAGGAGGAAGAGGAGGAGGAGGAGGATGGCCCTCGTCCTTGTATCTGTCGTCAATCATGAGCTGATCCGTGTGGCCGCCGTGGCTCCAGCCGCCATCGCTGACGGGCGCGCCTCCGTCTCGCCGTTCCGTCGGCGGGATGGCGCGCGCTCTCGTGTGCGCCCTGGCGGTTGCCGCCGTGGCGCCTGGCGCCAGTGGATTCGGTTTCACAGCCCAGCCCACGCTGCACCTTCCCTCGGCCGCGTTGGCCACTCGTACTGCTGCTCCCTTAGCATCCCGAGATCGCGCGACTCCCCGAGCATCCCGAGATCGTGGGTCAGGCACCGATGTGACAAGAACCGGATCGTCCTGTCCAGGGGGCACCATTTTGTGTGTTGCAGAGTTGAGGTGAAAGAAGGTGTGGCGAGACTCGGTGAGGTAGAGTGAGCTCACGCCGATCAGCAAAATCCAGAGGAATGCGCGGTGCGTTGGGGACAGAATGGCAGTGGGACGGGTTAGGGCCAGTACCAAGGGCTAGGTTCAAGGTTGACGAAGATGCGGTCTGAAAGAAAGCACGGCAATGCCACACCAAAAGAGCGATATGACGGAGTCAGATGTCGCAGATCCCCACTTGGATGGCGACGATTGACAGGATGTTCCCAGCTCGTCGTCGCCGATGAGAAACAGCATTTTTTTACATCGCCCCTGCCCGCTTTACAGTGGAGACCCATGCCAAGAAACACCCTCCTTGCCTGCAGGGTGCCCTGGGTTTCTTGGGTTTCGCTGGTTTTGCTATGGAAAGCGTGGCGCCCCCTCACCAAAAACCAGTTGACGTCCTGGGGTCGCAGGGTTGGGTTTCTTGTGGAAGGTTTCTTGTGGTCGGGCCCCCACTGTATTCTTGAGCAACGTTTGGTCGCACTGCGCTAAGGGAGCGATTTTTTTGAAGCAGGACAGGCCAGCCCAAGTGAAGCTGTGCAGGCAGACGGAGCGGGATGATGCTGGCGCGCGGGCCCCGAGCTCGTGGCTTTGCGGCCTGCGCGGTGCGGTCTGCGGGGTGCTCTCTGCGGGGTGCAGGCAGCCATGAAGGCGCCCACTCCGATGGTCGCCGTCAGCTCTACTCCAGATTTCGTAATAAAAGGGGGGGGGTCACAGCCCTCCCAGACGAGAAGTTTTAGCCCCCCCCCCCCAGACTATCCATCAAAGGGCGGCCCTTTGCCCAGACCCCCCCGAACCCTCCAAGACAGCTCAAATTAGACCCCCCCCCCCGAATGTGACCCCCCCCACTTTGTTATGGAATCCGGAGTACTTCTCGAGCAGATTCCCCACCCACCTTCCCGCAACCTGTGGGCAGCGCTCAGCTGGCGTAGTTGATGACGCGAGGACCCTTGTCTTGCAGATCCACGACGCGGGCGGGCGAGTGCTGGTGACGACGACGGTGGTAACGATGCCGGCGATCACGATAACGATGGCGCCGATGGGGGGTCACCACTTTTTGGGCCCTCCGTGGAGCCACCTCTGGCCTCCTCGGGGCTCCTGGTGCCTCTTGGTCCTCCAGAGGTCTCCTGGTGCGTCCTACGTCTTCGTGGTAGCTCGCAGAACGGGCTGGGGCTTCCTGGAGGTTTTGTGGGGCTTCTGCTTCTGGGGCCCCCTGGGGCCTCCTGGGGGCCTCCTGTTGCCTGCGCGGGATTCTCCGACCTCTCTGCACCCTCCTGGGGCTAGTTGTCTCCAATTTTCGAGAAGGGGATCGA